CCGGCAGCCCAGCCCCGGGGCGCAGGGCCCTCTGGCGTCGACGGGTCCGGGCTGTGCCGGGCTGAGCGGCGAACTGACCTCCCCGCAGACACTGGAGGGAGGGAACGATCGCAGGGGCCTGCGTGTGTGTGTGTGTGTGTGTGTGTGTGTGGCGCTGCCGGGACCTGTGTGCGCGGCGCCTGTGCTTCCCTGGAGCCTGGTGGGGGCGCCGAACCTCCCCGCACTGGGGGCTCCTCGGAAGAGTTCCGGGCGGGTGCTCAGAGGGGGTGGTGGGGAGGTGACAAGCGGGGAGGCAGATGGGGAGTTGGCCAGTCGACTGCCCTGCGGGGTACTCCAAGCCTCTTCCCACCGACCCTCACCCGAGAGCTCAGAGGCCCCACAGAGCCTCGGTGGGGATGAGGGATCTGCTTATTGAACGTTTCTCCCTCCACTTCAATCCAAAAACAGTATTTACTGAGCATCTCCTGTGTGTCGGCCTCTGTCCTGGGCGCGTACCTCAGTATCCTCAGCTGTAAAATGGGAAAGTAGCACCTTCGCCGCGGCTCTGGGAGAATGAGAGGTGCCTGAGAGGCCCGAGGCCAGTGGTTGCATCTGAATGAATCAGATTCTTCTCTGACCCCAGTCAGGTATCCAACCAGGGAAAACTTCAATAGCAAGTAGCAGAGCTGGCCCGTGTGGCTCAGTGGTTGAGCATCAACCTATGAACCAGGAAGTCACAGTTCTATTCCTGGTCAAGGCACATTTGCAGCGCTGATCTCCAGTGGGGGGCATGCAGGAGGCAGCCATTCAATGATTCTTTCTCATCAATGATGTTTCTCCCTCTCCCTTTCTCTCAGAAATCAATAAAAATATATTTAAATAAATATAAAGTAGCAGAGTTCCATGTACCAGCAGCCTTTGCCCAGATGGCTAGGAGGGCGTTTAAGCTGCAATAAAACTTAGATGTTTGTTTTTAATTTTGACATATCAGTCATCAAGAATTTGTGACATGGAGCTATTACTGTTTCTATAGAATTTAGCCCCTCCACCCCCACCCCCACCCCTTCTCTGGGTGTGAAAAGCACCACCTCCCACCTCTGTAGCTTGATCTCTGCTTCTTCCCCTGCCCTGTTCGTTGGCTCTCAGTCAAGACCATTCTTTTCCCTCTTCCCCCCAGCCCCCAGGATCTCGGCCTCAGGAACCCAGCTACCTGCTCCTGTGGGTAGGAAATCCTTATTCACACCGCTGCCCTGCCTGCCTTTTGATTGAATAGGAAAATAATAACAGTTCGTGTTTATGAGATACTTGTCATTCATTTATTCAGTATTAATTAAGCACCTACTCCACTCCAGGCACTGTTCTGGGTCCTTGGGATCTACCAGTGAGTTCTGCAGAGACCAAGGCCCTCCGTGAGCATCCTTTCTAGCAGAGGAGATGCACAATACAAAACATAACTCAAGTCAATTATTAATGTAGTCCAAGTTGATACGTATTTGCAGGCAAAGTAGATTAGGGTAAGAGAATTTGGGAGTACAAGGGTGGTGGTAATGGTGCCATCTAAAATGGATGGTCAGGCAGACCTCATTAGGAAGGTGACATTTGAGTAAAGATTTGAACGAGTAAAGCCCAGGTGGCTCAGTGGTTGAGCGTGGTCCTATGAATCATGAGGTCACGGT